GTCCCAAGTTCGATCCCCGGTACCAAAAAACAAAAAATGTACACTAAAAAGACACTCCCAGATTAACACAAAGGAAATTTGTTTCAAACTGACCTATCAAATAGAAAATACTAAAAGGAAGCTTAAAGGCTGAAAGGGAATGACATTGGATATTACCTTGGATCTACAGGGTGTTATGAAGATTACCAGAAATGCTAAATTATTTTCAAAAAAACTATTTTCAAAATATCCAGAGAATTTGAAAACTCAACCCTAGAAAACAACTTGATTAAAAAATGGCTGAAGACCTGAACAGAGCTCTCACTGAGGAAGATCTATAGTTGGCAAACAAGCATATAAAAGATGTTCCACATTGTATCTCAAGAAAATGAGAATTTAGGCAACAATGAAGTTCTACTAGAATGGTCAAAATCCAGTACAGTAACAACACCAAATACTGATAAGGATGTGGAATAAAAGGAACTCTAATTTATTGCTGGTGGAAACAAAAAACCTGATAGCCTCCTTGGAAGATAGTTTGGTGGTTTCTGTGAAACTAACAATACTTTCATTGAGTGATCCAGCAACTGTGTCCCTTGGTGTTTAGGCAGAGTTGAAAACTTAAGTCCAGAAAAACTCTGCATGTGAATGCTTGTAGCATCTTTATTCATAACTGCCCAAACTTGGAAGCAACCAAGATACCCTTCCATAGGTGAATGGATAAATATGGAATAACCATACAATAGAACATTACTAGGCAGTAAGAAGAAATGAACTGTCAAGCCTTAAAAAACCATGTAGGAATCTTAAACGCACATTACTAAGTGAAAAAAGCCAATCTGAAAAAAGCTACCTATTGCATGATTCCAACTCAACTACATTCTGGAGAAGGCAAAACTAGGCTGACAGTAAAAAGATCGCCGTTGACTGCAGTTGGGGAGGGAAAGAAGGATGAACAAAAGAACATGGAATTTTTAGGGCAATGAAACTACTATGTATGATACTATGATGATGATAAATGTTTTATCCAAGTACACAGAATATATAACACCAAGAATAAACCCTAATATAAACTACAGATTTGGGGTGTGAACACAGGTCTCTATCAATTTTAACAAACGTACCATTCTAATGTGGGATGCTGATAGTGGGGGAGGCCAGGCATGTACGGGAGCAAAAACTCTATGGAGCACATTTGCAACTTCTCAATTTTGATGTGAGCCTAAAACTGCCCTTAAAAAAGAAAAGTCTTCATATGAGATGCATAAGATTGTTTAAAGTAATAATTATATTACTACATTTCTACTATATACACGTATACACATACACACATGTACACAACTACACACACACAATAGCACAAAGGAGTGTGAAGAATGGAAGTACATGAGAGCAAAGCTGCTGTATTTTACCTGAATAAACTCATCCATAGGTTGTGGTAAGTCAAAGACATATGTAATCCTTTGACCAAGGTCTAAGAAATACAGTGGCACCCTGGTACTTGTCATTAATTGGTTCTGGGAGGTGCAACCAGTACCAAAAACAAGTTCCACACACATCGTTTTGTCTGTAAAGAGTAGTAAGTCACGATGCAATAAAATGGACACTGACAAGTTCTACCTTGCACATTGTGTAACAAACAAATAACGGGTACTAAGACATTTACATGTCAAAATATGTCAAATATCAAATGTGGTGAGTTTCAAAGTACTCAAGTACTAGGACAACAATGCAAATAAATTATTTAACAGAAACCAGTAAAGATGAATAGAGGAACAACAACAACAACAAAAAAGACATAAGCCATAGTAAAATGGCAGACATAAATCTAGCCATATTAATAATCATACTAAAATGTAAATAGATTGAATGCTTCAATAAAAAGATGGAAAAAATTTTAAACAAAGACATACTTTAGATTCAAAGAGGTTGAAACAGAATGATAGAAGAAGTTATATCATGCAAACAGCAACTATAAAAGGGCCGAAGTGGTTATATTACTATCAGACAAAATAGACAAGGCAAGAAATATTCATAGAGACAAACAGGAACATTTCATATTGATAAAAGGGCCAATTGATTAAGAATGTTTCGTAGGAGAGACTATCTACTAAATCATAAAACAAGTCTCAATTTTAAATCAAAGTATGTTCTCAAACCACAAAGAAATTAAATTACAAATAAACAAAAGAAAGAAATTTGGGGAATCCTCAACATTTGAAATTAACACAATATAGCCAAGGATGGTGGTACACATCTGTAATCCCAGTATTCTGGGAGGCTGAGACAGGAGGATTGCCCATTTGAGCCCAGCCTGGCTAGCTGAGCAACTTAGTGAGTTCCTGACTCAAAAAATAAAGACAAGTAACACGTTTCTATTAATCCAGGGGGGAGGGGGAACCACAACCCTAAGGAACTTTTGAAAGTGTCCTGAAATGAAAGTGAAAAAATAGTATATCATCTTTTAAGAGAACCTACTAAAGAGAAACTTAAAGCTTTAAACACAGAAAGGAAGAAAATTTTAGCTAAAATCAATCATCTCAGTTTCCTTCTCAAGAAGCCAGGAAAACAGACCCAATCACACTCCAACCAAGCAGAAGACAGCAAAGAGTATAGAGAAGAGTGGAACTCAACAAACTATAAAACAAGAAGACAATTAAAATCATGAAAGTGGGCCGGGGATTTAGCTCAGTGGCACCATGCCTGCCTGCCTCGCAAGCACAAGGTCCTGAGTTCCATCCCTGATACCAAAAAAAAAGAAAAGCAATGAAAGCAGAAGCTGGTTTTCTGGAAAGACCTGCAAACTTAACAAATCTGTTACAGTGACCAAGGAAAACAAGAAAGAAGACATAAATTATCAAAATCAACAGTGAAAGATGGGATGCTACTACAGGCTCTATAGAAAATTAAAAGGATTACAGGACATTATTATAACTTTACACAAACAAAATTGTAAATTTAGATGAAACAGATTCCTAGAAAGTTACAAATTACCAAAACTGATGAGACTAGAAATAGAAAAAATAGTAACAAGACCACTGATTAGAACAGAGATTTTAATAATTATATCTTGATTTTAATAATTATATCTATTTCGTTTTTTTCATTCCTTTGGTTGAAATAGCTATTCTGGTAGGTCTTTGAATGCATGATCATTTGAAAGTTATTTGGCAATGCAGCCAACAGATCACCTTGGAAATTCATGATTCTAGAACAAATGCTATGAAAAGGCTCATTTGTTACCTGTCTTTATAAGACTCCTCAAACAAACGGCCAATTATAGTCCTACTTACGAAGTATAAAAATCAAGTGCCTAGATATAACTAATCAACATTGAAGAAAGGTATTTCTGGGTGGTCCAATATATAATAAAAGAAAATAGCCTGGCATGGTGGTGCACACCTACAATCCCAGCATTCTGGGATGCTGAGACAGGACTGTAAGCTAGAGCCCAACCTAGGAAATTTAGCAACTTAAAATTTAAAAAGAACTGGAGATGTACTTCAGTGTAAAGGCCCTGGTTTCAATCTCTAGTAACCACCACCCTCATCCCCCCCACACCAGGTACTTATAGGTTTAATCTGTCCTTACATAACAGAAGCTTCCACAATAAGCCTAAATGTTTATTTGGAAGTAAATCGTATTAACTGGGTTAAAGTCTGAATAAAGCTTTCCTTCTGGTAATCTGATACCAGAAGGGAAAAAGTGAAATCTAAAAACTACAGGTTAAAAAAAAATGAGATAGCTTTTTTTGATAAGAGTATATTTTTATCCTTAGATATCCTTAGCCCACAGACAACACAATTTTCTGAGTGTTGATATGCATGTGATACATATTTTTGGCTAATTTATTTCTTTTTACTTTAGCAAGTAAGTACAAAGGGGTGAGGTCAGAGGTGGGCTGGGGAGATTAGAAAACCCCATATAGAGCTTGAGTTTTATTCTACTTGTGTTAGAAAACTTTTAGAATTAAGTAGGAAAACAGTACAATTTGGATTAAAAGGTAAAAATCATCTTGGCTACTATGTGGAGAATGGCTAAGTTAGGCAGCAGGAACACAGGAAGTTAAGTGATGGGGTTTTGACTACACTGATGATGAGAATGATAAATACCTTGCCTCAATCAAACTCAAATCTCCTAACAGCCTCTTGAGGTAACTACTATTATTTTCTTTTCATAATAGTAGGTACTACTATCTTCATGTATCTTCTCAAGTCAGAGGGAGATTAAGTAACTGGCTATATTGGGATTCAAGCCCTACCAATCTGGCAAAAGAACTGGCTCTTTCATCTGTAGCAGTAAGATGAAGAGAAGGGGCTGAAGTAGTAAAAAATTATGGAGTTGGTGTTGCCATGACGTGTAAACGGATTAGAGGTAGTGACAAAAGAAAGAGAAGAATGACTCCCAGGATTTCCTTGAGCAAGTTAAGTAAATTTGGTACCTAGGGGCCGGGGATTTAGCTCAGTGGTTTTGCTGCCTGCTGCGCAAGCGCAAGGACCCGAGTTCAATCCCCGGTACCAAAAAAAAAAAGAAAAGAATAAAATTTGGTATCTAGTTACACAAAGGCAAAATATAAAATAGGGAAAGGGGTTCCAGGACCCAAACTTGGCACACTACAGCTTTTAAAAGTTGAACAGAGGAGGAACAAAGCACCCAATGTTGTGGAGGCAACATGGAAAATGCTGCTGAGAGACTATATAGGTGAGGACAGGAGTGGGACCATGGGCTTTTGCATAGCAGACACTCCTGTTGAAGCTGAAAATAGTAGCATCCCTACATTTATTTTTTACCAATGTACTTACCTTGCTATTGTCCGCCTCATTCCTAGACCAATAGTTCCTGTTTTACTTCAAACTCCCTATTTTCTAGCCACAATGCTTGGAGTAGAACTGAAATTACACACAGGCTAAGGAATGGAATGGAAATGTTAAATTAGCTCACAGAGGTTCTGGTCTTATGAGTGAGGTGACAATTTCAGTGTGATTGACATGCACTCTTCTTTCACCTTCTAATTCACATACCGGAAGAGATCCATTCTGTGTGCTGGGCGAGTTGCTGCTTTGCTCCCCATGGGCTTGCGTACTTCCATAGAGTGTCAGGTTATGCTCACTGGTCTGGCCGGCATAGTCCTGAGTATGTGGCACTCCATATTCTGTAGGAATTCCGTTCTGTGGAGGTGGTGGGAATGGGATGGTAGTAAAAGGCTGAACCATTTCAGGAGTTGTTGTTGGCTCCTGGTTACCCTAGAATAAATGGGGGGTGGAGGGGAGAATAGCTTTATTTAAATCATTGTCACATAATTACTTTAAAGGTAAAATCTTTTAAACAAGTGAACTAAATACCTGATGAAAAAACAAAACCAACAACCAAACCAAACACATCTCCACTTCTATTCCAAATGTGTAAAAGTTAACTTGAAAAAAGAAGACCTAAATGTAACAGCTAAACTATAAAACTTCTAAAAACAAACAAAGGAAAATCTTCACAACTTTTAAATGGCAAAGAATTCTTAGGATATAAAAAAACAGAACCATTAAAACTCGATATACTGAACTGATCAGAATGTGAAAACATCTGCTTTTTGAAAGACACAAGAATAAAAGACAAAGACTGGGAAACAATATCCACCAATATATAAATCTTATAAGGAACACACCTCCAGAATTTATAAGACCCTGTTATAGATCACAATAAAAACAAACCAAGTTTTTAAAAACAGGCTAACAGCTAGGAATAGTGGCAACATGCTTGTAATCCCAGCACTTGGGAGGGTGAAGCGGGAAGATTGCTCTAAGTTTGATGCCAGTCTGGATTAGACAGTGAGTTCAAGGCCAACCTGAAGACTCTTTTCCAAAAAAAATAGGCCAGGTATTCAGCTCAGTGGCACCGCACCTGCCTTGCGAGCACAAGGTCCTGAGTTTGATCCCCAGTACGAAAAAAAAAGGAGCACAAGAGGCAAGGGTCACTTTCTACAAGAAGATAAACAAATGGGCAGAAAATGCATGAATAAGTGTGCTCAACACTAGTCATCAAGGACATAAAACTAAAACCAAAATGAGATACCATTTTACAACCACTAGAGTATCTAAAATATAAGACTGAAATCACCAAATGTTGACAGAGACATAGAGAAGAACTTTCATACACTATTTGTTGACATATGAAATGTATTATCTACCTTCTAGAAATGTTTTGCCATTTTACTTTTATAAGTTAAAACATCCTTTGGATTTACCTAAAAAAATGAAGCCGTATGTTTCCACTAACATCTGTACCAGAATGTTCATGGAAGCCTAATTCACAATAGTCTCAATTGAAAACAACTATGGATCAACAGGAGAATGTGTAAGCAAATTGTGGTTTATTCATAAAATGGAATGCTACTAAGAACTTAAAAAAATCTTGTACTGGATGAAGAAGTTAGCTACAACATAACACATACACAGTATAATTCTACTTATAAGTATCAGAGTAGGAATAATTAATGCATGGAATAGAAATGAGAATGTACTTGCTTCTGCTTAGGGGTAGAAAAGCACTGATTGAATTTTGGTACAGTGAAACAATCTAGGATGATGGAGTTGTTATGTATCTTGTGGGTGATGGTCACACAGATTTATTAAATTGTTGGAACTCATTAAAATATGTGATAAATGTTATTATGTTAAGTATACCAAAAAAATGAAAAATAAGATAATAAAAAGCCACAGTAAACATCATAATAGATTATTCAGTATTAACATCACTGTTATTAACAATCAAATAAACCATCCAGCCCTATTATTTTACATAACAAAGGAAATGGAAATAAAAATCAGAGACCAATTATCTTTATAAATATGATTATATACCTAGAAAATCCAAACCAATAAACTACAAATTAGTAGACCTAGTAATAAAAACTTGTAAGGTTTATTTTTAAATTAGCAATAACCAGTTATTCAAAAACAATGACTGTCAGGGCCGGTGATTTAGCTCTGTGGTTCTGCTGCCTGCCTCGCAAGTGCAAGGTCCCCAGTTCCATCTCCAGTACCAAAAAAACAGTGATCATTAATACTATAATAAAAAACATGTAACATACAATAAAATCTAAATAAAAATTATATTTTTAAAAACATTTATTTAATATAAAAGTGTTAACCATCCCAAAATAAAATATATATCTAATGTCTTTCCCAGTGATGTCTAGTGAAAGAAAGTGTACTATTTATTTTTATAGGGAAAATTGCAAAGAAAGTCTAAAAAAAAGCAAAGTTTGGAAAAGGAGACATGCTTTATCATATATTAAAACTTATCACAAGCTACTGTAATTAAATAGTAAGAATATACAAAGAAATTAACAGAATACAGTTCTAAAACAGATTCAAGTTTATATGGAAATGTATCTTACGGCATTTGCAAAAGTTGGGTTATCCACCCCACCACCAAAAAAATAAAATCAGCTCATCTGTCATACCAAAAAAATTCAGAAGGAATAAAATCTAATGTAAGAACTAAAATTGTAAAATCTAAGAAAAATTAGGAATGTAACTGAGGTACAGGGGATTTTTAAGACAGGACACCTTAAAACCAGACGGCAAGCAACCAAAATGACAGCTTTGTCTCTGCTGGTTAAGAAGGAAAGACCAAAGAGAAAGAAAAAGAAATGGAGGAAGTAAGAGGAGAAATGAATTTTGAAATCAAAAGAAAAATCAACTGCGATAAAATATTAGAAGCTGGTAAGATAGATAGTGGGTTACCATTAATGCAAGATTGGATTATGTATATTGACAAGACACACATACACAAACCCCAACAGAAAAAGAGGCAAAGGATATAACTTAACAGTTCATAGAAGATGAAATACAAATAGCTAATAAAAAATGTTCAATCTCAGTATCAGTCATGGAAATACATATAGCATCAAAATAACACCAAGCCGGGCTGGGGATTTAGTTCAGTGGTTTCGCTGCCTGCTGCGCAAGCACAAGGACCCGAGTTCAATCCCCGGTACCAAAAACCCCCACAAAACAATAGAAACACCAAGCTTTTAGTCATCACATCAGAAAAAAATTTTGTATCATTTTATTGAAGTATAACTGTCATGAAATAAACTGTAACTATTTGTAGTAAACAATTTGGTTAAGTTTTGATGCATAGGCATGTATTCTCATGAAGTCATTATCACACTTAAGATAGTAAAAATATCTATTCAAAACATCCAAAAGTTTCCTCATGCCCCTATTATGCATGTACTACTTTTAAAAATAAAACCTACTGGGCCAGGGATTTGGCTCAGTGGTTCCGACGCCTGCCTTGTAAGCAGAAGGTCCTCAGTTTGATCCCCAGTACCAAAAAAAAAAAAAAAAAGTAATAAAAATAAAACCTACTAATATATTGTTTTAATATCAAGAAGAATGACAAGAAAAATACAACTTAAAAATCTGGTCCAAAAGAAATAAAAAGGAAAAATACAATCAACAAGGGGAAGTCAATGCCAAAGCAGTGAATTACTGCGCTACTCTTAAAAACATGGCTGTGACCTTCCTGGAAATAAAAATTCCTAATTGTTGTCCACTTACAGGTCATATATATTAAAAATTCAGCTGTCTTCAGTGTTCAATAATCATTTCTACTTGGTACTAAGAATCGTTTTACATAAAAAAATACTTTTAGTTCTTACAAATTATGCTGTAAAAATATTAAGCTCTTCACCCATAAAACTGCTCAGGGAAAGAGTCTCTGTCTCTCATCACTACATAATTTCTTTTCATTCTCTAAATCAGTATCCTATATATGATTTCTCTTTAGCCATTCTGGGAGTCCTTAGAATAAAATAAAATAATTCTTTTCCTTGTCCTCCAAATTCTTAGGCACTCTATCCATACTTATCTAGCTATATGAAATAAACTGGTCCAGTAACCCTCACAAGTTCATTGGCTTTGGGGCCAGGGATTTAGCTCAGTGGTGCCACGCCTGCCTTGCAACCGCAAGGTCCTGAGTTCGATCCCTGGTACCAACCCCCCCCCCCAAAAAAAAACAAGTTCACTGGCTTAAAGGCAGATAGCAAAGAGAAAAGAATTCAAATTCAGGTGGGATAGTGAATGAGCAGAGTGAAGGCACAAAAGGTCACTGCAGATCTGCTTGCTGGCCCTGGGCATGCATATCACCTCGCAGGAGTCTATAGGGAGAGTCTACTGTATAACTAGTAAAGGCTAAAAGACCTAGTTTTCAAGGATTAATACACCAAGAGGACTTGTCTCTGGCTTTGACAATGCTCCTCCTCAAAGACCCCTGGCTTTGCCTCCAGCCTTTATTCTCCACCCTGGCTCTGCTGGGAATGAGACTCTGGCACACAAGCACACAGTATGAATTCTCCCACAGGGGAAGTCTTGACAGAGCTGGCTCAGTCAACTGAATAAACACATCAATTAGGAGTGGAAGAGCGAGAAAGGTAAAAACATTTTCTACGATCTACTTGTAGCCTAGGCGTTTGCATTTTGAAGAAACGCAAGCCACTCTGAGACTGTCTTCTTAGAACAAGTGAAATGCTGGCCTATATTAGGATGTCAAGAATACCTTTTATTTCTAGAAATATTTAAAATTTTGTTAAAATATAGCAACAATTATGTTTATATATGAAGAGAATAAATTTGAGAGAGGAGTAATTTTATATTTTATCTCACTTACTCTTTCAATGTCTGGATATTTTTCCCAAGATATATTACTATTACTAAAAATGTTAAGTGATTTCATATTTCTATGAAATTTCCAGACCACATTCCAGAGTTCTAAGTTTAGGAGAGAAGTACAATAGCCTCCAAACAACCTGTGAGACAACAGTTCATGTGATTATTTCTAGGCCTAAATTTACCTCCATGTTTAAAGGAAAATGTTTTGTTTTTAATACAACAGGTGAAACAACTAAAGCACATCTCACCTCAGAAAATGAATCATTAACTTTCTCTTGTAGTTCTTAACCTTGTGCTACTACTACTGGGTATAACACATTTAAATTCAAAGCTTAATACTCAACATATCCAAATGTGTATCTTATCTGCCCTGTTAGATTAAAAGATTCATTATGATTGGTGAGGATCGTCTTATAGAATAATAATAACAATGTATTAAATATTTATTAAATGCAGGAAGACAAAAGTCACATATGTGCACACTTCAGCAAATTGCTTTTTTTGGCTAGAGGGACTAACAAGGGATAATACATAATGAAATAAATGTTGCTATCTTTCTTGGGTTGATATCA